TCCCTCTGCTGGCTCCTCCTCCACTCCATGACTTCTCACCTGGGGTAGCTCAGGGCTCAGCCCTGTCCCTACACACCTGCTCCATGGTGTCTCATCCAGCCTCATGGTTTCAAATTCCATCCATGTCCCAACGGCCCCCAAATTCTCTCTCCAGTGCAGAACTCTCTCCTGATCTCTAGACTTTCATATCTAACTGCCCACTTGACATCTAAACATGAGCATCTGCTAGATATCACAAACCAGGCTCCAATCTTCCTTCCAAACAATTGCAACTCCTGTGACTGTTCTCTCTCCGTTTGTGGCTAACGCATCCTTCAGTTGCAGAAATCAAAACACCCCAGAATTACCTTAACGTCTCTCATTCATTCTCTTGCCCCTCTCATCTATACCCGCAGGGAAATACTACTGGCATTTCTTTCAAATTAAATCAAGAATTCAGTTACGTCTCATCACGGCCACCATCTTGAGCTGGACTGTGCCCGCCTCTCCCCTGCATCTTTGTGGAAGGGGCTCCTGACTGGTCTTGCTGTTTCCACCTTGGCTCCCTTTCATCTGTTCTCAGCAGGGCAGCCAGAGGGGTCCTGTTAGACCTGAGTCACCCTCTGCCACTTCTTGGTTCACAGGCATGGGGTGCCACTCCCTCTCGGGCCGCTCTCCCCCTCTCCCCTTTGCCCACTCTGCTCCGGCCGCTCTGGCCTCCTGGCTGCTCCTCCAGTGTAGACACCCCGCCTCTGGCTGTGCTGTCACTCCCTTCAACTCCTTCACTCAGGCACCCCCATCACTCCCGCTTGCCCTGCCCACCCCCTCTGCCTCTGCTGCACCCACCACCATCTAGCCCACCATGGGTTACTCAGCTTGCATGTCATCCACCTCCTCCGCCAGAACCTCGAGGGCGGGGGCTGGTGCATCTCGCTCTCTGCTATCTGCCCAGTCCCTAGAACGTATTCTCGAGCGAGTGACAGACCGGCTGAATGGACGGATGGATGCCCAGCCCAGGCAAGGGGCACTGCAGTTGCGGCCACACCATCTGCAGTGACAGGCTCTCCTGAGCCCACTCTGCTCCGGCCGCTCTGGCCTCCTGGCTGCTCCTCCAGTGTAGACACCCCGCCTCTGGCTGTGCTGTCACTCCCTTCAACTCCTTCACTCAGGCACCCCCATCACTCCCGCTTGCCCTGCCCACCCCCTCTGCCTCTGCTGCACCCACCACCATCTAGCCCACCATGGGTTACTCAGCTTGCATGTCATCCACCTCCTCCGCCAGAACCTCAAGGGCAGGGGCTGGTGCATCTCGCTCTCTGCTATCTGCCCAGTCCCTAGAACGTATTCTCGAGCGAGTGACAGACCGGCAGAATGGACGGCTGGATGCCCAGCCCAGGCAAGGGGCACTGCAGTTGGGGCCACGCCATCTGCAGTGACAGGCTCTCCTGACCACTGGCCAGCTGGCTTCTCTGTGGGACGGTGGGCTCTCCCTGTTGGCAGCAGGCACACTGCCTGTTCCAGCCTGCCAGAGGGAGCCGCTCGCTGCCAGGACAAACACGCTTGAAAGGGCTCGAAGCCTCCGTTACGAAACAGCCAAAGAAGGACTGATCCTCTAAGCCTCCTTCCCAGGGGACCGGGGCTAATAATACCTTTGCCAGGAAACCCTCGGGGGCTGGCTGAGCCCACCTGGGAGCAGCACGCTTGCCCAGACATGTCCCGTATCACTAACTCCAGGAAAAGCGTGGGGCCTGGAGGAGGGGAGAGCCTGGGCTCCGCATGGGCTGTGCCAGTGGTCCCTATTGTGAGCGAGCAGGAGACGGAGATGGACGCACTAAGCCTCCTTCCCAGGGGACCGGGGCTAATAATACCTTTGCCAGGAAACCCTCGGGGGCTGACTGAGCCCACCTGGGAGCAGCACGCTTGCCCAGACATGTCCCGTATCACTAACTCCAGGAAAAGCGTGGGGCCTGGAGGAGGGGCGAGCCTGGGCTCCGCATGGGCTGTGCCAGTGGTCCCTATTGTGAGCGAGCAGGAGACGGAGATGGACGCACGCAGGGGCAGCCAGGCCCGCTGCTCTTGGACAGGCCACTTAAGCCGGGCCTTTGCAGTCAGGACACCTGCCTTGATTTCTCAGAGCTGCTCCCCAGCTGGCTCTCTTTAAAACCCTTAGTGTCTCTTCTTTCTTTATTGTTTGATCTTTTATATAGTGAAACATGTGCACATCCAGAAAAGTACTTGAAGCATAAATGTGCAGATTAACATGTTATTGAAAAATGTACACCTGTGTAACTACTGCCCAAGTCAAGCTAGAGAACATTCCAGAAACTGTATGCCCTCCCCACACCATCTTAATCTCTTCCCTTCTCCCTACTATCCTGACTTTTGTGGCATTCATCTCTTTCCTTTCTTTATATTTTTGCTGCCTATCTACCCACAAATAACATAGTCTATGTTCACCGTATCTATTAATGCGATATAAATGGAATCATACGGGGTGTTACTTCTTCATTAGTTTGGCTTCTTTGTTCCACATTGTTCTAAGATTCACTCACACTGTTGGGTGGAGCTGTAGTTGATTCATCCTCATTGCTGTGAAGTTCCCACTGTAAAAATGAATCAGTTATTTATCCGTTGTGTTGTTGCTGGGCATTTGGGTTAGTGTCAGGTTTACCATAAATAAGGCTGCTGTGAGCATCCGATGTGGCCAAGCCTCCTGGCATACCTGTGCACGCATTTCTACCTGGGACACAGGTGTGCACACCACTGACCTTAGCAGATACTGCCAACAATTTCCCTAGCAATATATGCAAGGTGCTTAGCTCTCTATCCTGGTCACCACTTGGAACCATCTGTCTTTTCCGTTCAGTCATTCTGCTGGGTGAGAAGAAGTTTCATGATGTTGTAGTTTAATTTACATTTCCCTGAAGACCGATGTCGTGTATGTTCACTGGTCGTGAGGATTTCTTCTGTTCAGGTCTCTTGCCCATGTTTCTACTGGCTTGTCTGTCTCTGCCTCACTGATTTTTAGGAGCTTGGGGAGTGAGTCGCTTGACAGTCATATGTGTTGCAAACACCTTCTCCTAATCTATAGCTCCTCTTTTCATCTCTTAATCTACCCTTTAAAGAACAGATGTTCTCCATTTTATGTAGTGCAATTTACCGACCTTTTCCTAGAAGATTAGTGCTTTTGTAACTCATTTAAAAAATCTTTCTCTGCCCCAAGATCATGAGGACGTTCTCCTTTCTCTGGTGCTCAAAGGGGCCCCCTGTCATAAGCCAAAGTCCAGCTACATGGGGGTCCACTTCTGGGCTCTATTCTGCTCCACCCATTCACTTCCACACCTTGCACCAAAGGAAGCCCTTGGGGGATGGTGGAAATCTTGGTGGGCTCCGGTCTTCCCAGGCCTTTAAGACGAGCCGCAGGTCAAATTTGCTGCAATCCTCAGGGGTCAGGGAAGCCACGCTGACAGTGTGATGACATTTGCACAGCCCAGGAGAACGACTCTAACTTTCAGTGTTATAGTGGCGCTTCTACGTGAGGGATTCAGAGTGGTCAGGTGTCCATGGCCAGCGATGGAGAGGAGAGATGGCGAGGAGCGGAGGAAGGTGCAGCCTATGGGGACTGCCAGATCTGAGATGGGCTCTGAGCCCCCAGAGATCCGGGTCTGTTCCTGCCTGGACTGGGTGCCAATCAAACAGTGCAGAGAGAGAGAGGACATCATGGCTCATGTGGTCAGAACCTGGCCGGCCGGAAGGCCCCTGGTCTCCACATTCAGCAGCGAGTTGGTGGCCCCACCCCCTGGCATGGTGATCCCACCTGAAAACTCTTTTCATGATGACTTCATACGGACACCAACCTATAGAGAAAGCAACCGCATGGCTGGCAGTCACCTGTCCTTTCTCTCACACCCCACGTCCAGCCCGTGGGTAACACCTGGCAGCACCCCGTTCAGAATACATCTGCAGCTGACCACTCTGCACCGTCTTCTCCACTCCTACCCCAGTGGGTCTGTCCCCTGACTGTCCCAGCCAGCTGTGTCCATCCTTGTTTCTCTGTGGTCCACTCCTCACATGGTGGCCAGAGGGCTCTCTTTATAAATCCAAACCAGGTCCTGGCTGTCTCCCGCTGAGAGCCCTCCCTGGTGCCCCACTGCATTTAGAACAAAGTCTGAAATCCCCACCATGGCTCCAAGGCCCCGGTGACCTCTCTCACCTCCCTCCCACTTTCCCCGTCTCCACTCCCTCAGAACCACTGGCCTTGCGTTCTACAGCTCATTCCTACCTCAGGGCCTTTGCACGTGCCGTCCCCTGCTGAACCTCTTCCCCAGCATGCCCCTGGCTCTCCTGGTCACTTCATCAGGCCTGCTGGGCTGCTCCGCCTAGCAACACCTGCTCTGCCTCTCACCGAGCTGTGCTGTGCCTGCTGCATGTCTCACCACTGGACGTCACGAGATGTGGGTACATGTCTACACCTGTCTCCCACAGAGAATGCAGGGAGGGGAGAGTGGAGGCATGGCCTGTCCTGTTCACCACCGAGTTCCTAGCGTCTGGAGTAGAACCTGGTGCCTTCCAGGCATCCAGTGAATGTTTGTGAACAGAAGAGGAAGTGAGTGAATGGCAACGGCGACTGTTGCTTTCAGACCAGGGACAGGGCATGGGTCTGGGGACAGAGTGGGGTTCCCCGAATGGCTGCAGCCAGGCCTGGCAGAGAGGAAAGCAGCAGCACCCAGGCATCCAATATGAACTGAGCACACACGGCCCACTCCGGCCCATCCGGCATCCAGCAGGGGTCTGGATGCAGGGAGACATGTACACAAAAGCCACAGGACTCTGGCTGGAGGAAGGCATGTTTCTGAAACATGCACCTGATTTCCCATGCCAGGGCCTGCCTGGGACACCAGTGGGGGTGACTCTTGAGGGCCGGCCACACAAGGGCCAGGGAGCCATAAGCTGCCCAAGACGCAGCCAGCAAGTTCCAGCAAGAAAGGCCTTGTGGGCTCAGGGTGGAGGGGCGTGATTACCTGCAGGCAAGGGCTCTAGAGGGTGGGCATGCGAGCTACGGGCAGTACCTCCGCCAAGCGGGGCCCAGATGACCCGGCGGATGGCCTGTACCCAGTCTTCCATGTCACGCTGGGAGCTGGCCATGAGCAGGAGCGCCTCGGGGTTGGCCGCCACCTTCTCCCGCTCCCCGGCACCACCTGCAAGACAGGGAGACACAGGCTTAGGCAGGGTCCCCGCCCACCAGCCCCAGCTCTGGTTGGCATCACTCCCTGTGCTGTGCTCCTGGCCACAGCTGAGCACATGGTTCAATTTTGCAGTCCGTCCCTTTAGCACCTCACCCATCTTATTTGGGGCCCTTTCTGTTTTTTTTCTCCCTTAGTCTCACTTTGTTATTTTTCTGTTTCAAAAGAGAAATCATTAAAAGCATCCCAGGCCACTATCAGAAAGAAAGCGTGCAGATTTCAGGCCAGGCCAGAGAAGTTCAGTACCCCGGGGGCAGCTTTGCCACGTGTTTAGTTTCGAATCAACTCTTCCCACCTTCATCACACAGTTCCAGGTTACTAAGTGTTTTTAACTCCGGCTCTGACATTACAGCTTCCCCTCCCATCCTGAAGATGAGACCCAATTCTCCGTGTGTAGTAATGTTACAGAGGCTGGATATCAAACGAAGATGGAGCACAGTGCTCCAGAATTCTCCACCTGTCCCCGCTCACAGCTGGATGCGGATCAATACTTAAAGGCAGGAGGATGCGTAAACCCAGACAGCTGTTCATGAGCTGATTCTACCCAATGGTAGCTCTAGGTGTTCCCAAGTTTTCATGTCTAAATGAATTAATCTTTGGGATGTACATACAACCATTTATACTTAACTTTATAGGCAATTTGAGAGGTTATCAAGAACGAGCTTCTTTATGCACCCTACCACCCACAACCCTTAAAACGTAATTCACTATTACTCGCCCAGGGCCCACAGCCTCAGACCATAACCAGGACCGTCTGCTGCTGGAGTGTGAGTCCCAGGGGTGGGAGGTCCGCAGCCCAGGGACAGTGAACAGTCAGGAGCAAGTGCTTACGGGGCACTCAGGGCGCTGGGAACTCTTCTGGTGAACAAAGCTGACACACACACACCTGCCCTCCAAGGGCTCTTTATTCTTCACAATGACTCTGTGAGGGAGGTATTGTCACCATCTGCAGTTTACAGATGAGGAAACTGAGGCACAGCATGGCTAAGTATCTTGCCTGCACTCACACAGCTAAGTGGTTGGGCCAAGGATTCAAGGTCTTGGAGCTGGGCTCGTACCCACCTCAGCTGAGGACCGGGGGAGCTGAGGAGGCTGCTCTGGGGGCTGGATCACAGGGCAAGGCCTCGGGGCTGGGGACTGGGAAGGCAGGTTGGAGAGGCCCACGGGCCTCGGGGATCAGGAGGTGGACAGCAAGGGGATGACACTGTCAGTGCCCTGGGATGCCGTCCGGAGCCCTTCGCTGCACAGACGAGCCTGCCCACCTGGGCTCACAGTCACTGGGCAGCAGAGCCGTGGGGGTGGGGAGGAGGGAGCTTGAGGCCGAGACAGCACAGCCTGAAGCCCCAGAGGCAGCTCAGTCACCTACTGTGGTCATTCACAAGGGTGCAGGCATTGCCACTGAGGCTGCCACATGGGAGAGGCTCAGCCCCAGGGACAGTGTCTTCACACACCACTTGGGCTATGAGGGCTGGAAAGGCTGAGTGTCCCAGGCGTGGAGGAGAAGCTTCCACCAGGAAGCTATTCTACGTAAGCTTTTCTGGAATGGTGTCTCAAAACAACTTGGAAGAAAGGGACCTGGCTCCATCACTCCGGGAATGTGTTGTTCCTTATTTGTTCTAAATAAATAAGTCCCTAATCTTGATTTTCTCATTTTTAAATTCTTTTTTCTAAAGAGGCCCACCCATGTCACTTAAGCTTCAGGCCCCACCAACTTGGATCCGCACTGCCCAGAGGTTGGCAGATGCCCTCGTGCCCAGCTGTGCCCCTGCCCAGGGTCCTGTCCCATGGTGCTCTGAGCCTGTATGTTTAACTTTTCATTTCTTTCTTTATGTGTGTATGTTTATTTATATAAATATCTTAACATATGTATGTCTTTTTAGGAAACGGCCAGAAACTGTTTTCCAGAGTGATCGCACCATTTCGCATTCCCACCAGCAGCGCATGAGAGTCCCAGTGCCCCACGTCCTCACCAGTACTTGACGTGCTCAGTCTTCGTACTCTGAGCCATTCTAAGAGCTGTGTAGGATAGAACGTTGTGTGAACTTGCATTTTCCAAATGACTGATGATGTTGGACATCTTTTTATGTACTTAATTGCCATCTGTGTATCTTTGGTGAAATATCTGTCCAAATCTTTTGTCCATTTTCTGTTTGTTTTTTTGGTGGCTGGCTTGTACTGGGTTTTTAACCCTTGACCTTGGTGTTTTAACACCATGCTCTAACCAACTGGACTAACCAGCCAGCCCCTTTTGTCCTTTTTTAAAATGGGTTATTTTCCATTATTGGGTTTCCCGAGTTCCTTATATGTTCTGACTACAAGTTCTTTGTCAGATATATGCTTTGTAACTATTTCTCCCAGTCCATGTCTCCCCCCCCCCCATTTTATTAATGCTGAGTTTCCAAGAGCAGAAGTTTTAATTTTGCAAAGTCAAATTCATCTATTTTTTCTTTCATTGAGTGTACTTCTGGTGTTGTACCTAAGAAATCTTTGCTTAACCAAAGGTCATATAAGTTTTCTACTAGGTTTTCCTTTAGAAGTGTCATAATTTTAGGATTTACATTTAGTTCTGAGTTAATTTTTATATAGGTACCAGGTATAAACGGAATCTCATTCTTCTGCATAGGGATGTTCCAGCACCATTTGTTGAAAAGTCAATCCTTTCTCCACTAATTTGCCAGTGGACCTACATAGTTGGTCATGCTCTCTGCAAATAAAGACAGTTTTATTTCTTCCTTTCCTACCTGGTGCCTTTTATTCTTTTCTCTCATATAATTGCACTGACTACAGCCTCAAATACAATGTGGAATAGAAGTGGTGAGAGTGGACGTCTTGTCTTGTTCCTGATCTTATGGCAAAAACATTCAGTTTTTCACCATTAAGTGCATCAGCAGTAGGTTTTCTGTAGATGTCCTTTCTCAGGTTGAGGGAGTTCTCTTCTATTCCTAGTTTGCTGAGAGTTTTTTTCAGGAATGGATATTGGATTTTGTCAAATGCCTTTTCTGCATCTATTAAAATGATCGCATGATTTTCTTAGTGTGTTGATATAACGAATTGCATTGATGAATTTTCAAATGTTAAACCAACCTTGCATTCCTGGGATAAATACTATCCTTTTTACATATTGTTGAATTCGATTTGCTAAAACTTTGTCAGGAATTTTTCATCTATATGCATCAGGGATATTGGCCTGCAGTTTTCTTTTCTTATAATGTCTTTGTCTGGCTTTGGTATTGGGGTAACGGTGGCCTCACAGAAGCTGTTAAGTATACCCTTCTTTTCAATTTTTTGGAAGAGTTTGTGTAGGATTGCTATTATTTCTTTCCTAAATATTTGGTACAATTCACCAGTGCAGCCATCTAGGCCTGGAGTTTTCTTTGTAGGAAGCTTTTTAATAACAAGTTCAATTTCTTTCATATGTACAGCTATTTCTTCTTGAGTAAACTTTAGTAGTTTGTGTCTTTCAAGGAATTTGTCCCTTTAAGTTATTGAATGTATTGGCATAAAGTTGTTCAAAATATTCCTTTACTGTTCTTTTAATATTTGAAGAATCTATAGCTGTCAGCTCTCTCACTCCTAATATTGGTCATCTGTGTCCCTAGTCAGTCTTGCTAGAGACTGACCAATTTTACTGATCTCAAAAAAACAGCTTTTTATCTTACAGACTTGGTCTACTGTGTTTCTGGTTAGCAAACTTTTAAAAAGGGCTAGATGGCAAATATTTTAGGTATTTAGGCTATATGGTCTCTGACACAACTATTCCACGGTGCTGCTGTAGTGCAAAAGCAGCCATAGATAATATGTAAATGAAAGGGCACGGCTGCGTCTGTGCAGAGCTTTATTTACAAATCAGGTAGCCATACCACAGGTGGTAGTTTGCCAACCTGTGTTTTGTTTCATTGATTTTACTATGATCTTTATTATTTCTTTTCCTTACTTTGAATTTAATTTAGTCTTTTCCTAGTTTCCTACAATGTTTAGTGCTTTAGGGGCATCCCCCAAATTTTGATATGTTGTGTTTTCATTTTAATTCAGTTCAAAATACCTTCTGATTTCCTTTTTGACTTCTTCTTTGACCTATGTGTTATTTAGAAGTGTTAGTTTCTAAATTTGGGGGGACTTTCCAGAAATCTTTTTCTTACTGATTTCTAATTTAATTCCATTGTGGTCATAGAACATATGTTCTATGACCTGAATCCTTTTTAATTTATTGAAACTTGTTTTTGGCCCAGAGAGTATGGTCTATTCTGGTAACTGTTCTATGTACACTGAGAAAAATTGCTCTGCTGTGGTTTGATGGCATGTTCTATAAATGTCAATTAGGTCTAGTCAGTTGATAGTTTTGTTCAAATCTTCAATATCCTTACTGACTTTCTCTCTAGTTATTCTGACAATTATTGAGAGATTTTCATTAAAATCCCCAGCTATAACTTTAGATTTATCTATTTCTCCTTACATTTCCATCAGTTTTTGCTTAGTTTTTGAGAGCATAAATATTTAGGATTATGTGCTCTTGATGAATTGATTCCTTTATCATTATGAAATGACCTTGTTTATTCCCTAGTAATATTCTTTGCTTTGAAATCTTTGTCTGGTAGTCTTTCCAGCTTTCTTTTAATTAGTGTCAGTATGGTATAGCTTTTTCTGTCCTTTTACTTTTAACTTTTTTGCATCTTTATATTTTAAGTGCATTTCTTATCAGGCATAGAGTTGGGTCTTGCTTTTTTATCTAATATGACAAGCTTTATTTATAATGTGGTTATGGGCATGCTTAGGTTTAAGTGGTCTTCTGTCTTCTATTTGTCCCATCTGCCTTTTTTCTCGTTTCCAGTCTTCTTTTGAATTACTATTACTTTTTAATAATTCCAATCTATCTCCTTTGCTTGCTTACTAGTAAAAAAAATATGTCTCTCTCTTTGTGCTGTAGTGATTACTTTAGGGTGTATGGTCCACATTTT